TAAGCGAATCACGGCTGGGGTGGGAGCGATAGGAAAGATAAGATCTTTGATGGGGAATAAGGCATTGCACTTGGACGACCGCTCTTGGATGTCATCAAGTAACGCTGATGCATGCGCTTCTCTGACTGGAATCCGCGATGGTTTCGAGCGTTGCGTACGTGGGATATTTTCGCCACCTTTCGAGGCAACAGAGCTGGGGCGTTTCGCGGTTTTTAGCGTTACTGCCGAAAAATAAGGAAAGCAGAGAACGTAGACGATTCTCTGTGCCGGGAGGCAGCACCAGGGGGGGGTGAGGGAAAAGGTTTTCCCCTCAAGGTAATCTGCAACTCAGGCGCAATGCATCAACTTTCGAGCCGTTTAGCGTGAGAGAAAGAGCAACGTTGAACAATGCCGTGCGTGTTGGGTCTCCTTTCGCAGAGGTGTCTACTAGCTCATCCCTTCGTGTGATCTGCGTGGATATGCAATATCATTTCCCGCTGCTCAAACTATTTCTGGATCCATTCGTCCGCCCTGGCACAATTGAAGCCGAAGACAGCTTTATCACTTGGCTTCCAACACCGCATTAGTTTATTTGTTCAAACAACCAAATCGTCTGGACTTTTTTTTGTGTCCTACATGTACGTCTGTATTGCGATTTAAGCACACGCATGTGCAGAAACGCACAACCATTGTACATAAGCATACCACAGATGATGTGTGTTTTTCGTATCTCAAGAAATTATCGTACGACCATGTTCACCGTGTTCACGCCACTCTTCAAACAGAAACAGCAGAGAACGGAGGGTCACTCCAAGGCTCCACACAGCCGCTGGAGGCGGCCCTCGTTGTTTCAACAGCGCCACTGTCGACTCTAGCACCATCCCGAGGTTCTTCACCAAGAACAGAACCCCGGAGACCACTCAGCTTTCGCTCTGCGGCGGGTGGCACGCTGGGTACGACAACGCGAAGCCCATCGGCTCGTGTCGCCGGCAGCCGACCCTCATCACCCGTTGAACCAGAACGTGGAGATGAACCAGCTGATTGAAAATACACACCTTTGTGCAGGATCCGGAAGAGAGAAACTGATTAGAGCTGAAAGAAGAACGGGTTTTCAGCGGGAGGCTTCCCACTTGAGGAAGGGCTTAGAGTGAGGAAAAGTCTCAGCAAAAGATTCTTCAAGGAGTAACAAAAAATAAACCGTACTGTAAAATAATTCCGTACTTCGCACCGTTCATGCGCAGACGTGATGAGGAAGGGTGATTGACACGGGGGTATGGTTGTTCGGGTGGGGCGGCACGTAATCCCGCATGCGTGCCCCCTCGATGTACAGCATGGCAGCACTTTTTGATGTCGTGTTGAAGGTCGGTGGACATACTGTTGTAAACACTCTTTGTCATGATCATTGACACGCAAAATGGACGCGAACTGAACAGTCCATGACCCCGTTAAATAACGTTAGAGTGCATGCCTCGTATACACAGGTGTGTCTCATCAATAGGTGCGGTAAATTATGGTATGTTGGCTGCCGAGGTGTCCTCCACCGCGTGCACGGCAAATGATGGTCTATTGACTGCCGAGGTGTCAACACCGCGTGCACCTTGCTCGGCTCTTCCTAGCTAGGTGGCGACGTAGATTGGCTCGTGAAGAGGTTCGGTCATTTAAGCTTGATGTCGTTGTTTCGTTCGAAGAAATATCACTCGGTATTCTGTGTGCAGAATATGTGAATCCCGTACCCTTCTTGTTGTGTCGCAGTGGTGTCTGGCGAGCTCTTGTACTCCCGTCGCGGCGAAGACTTGCCTTAGCCTCAATGAACCCACCAAGAATCCAAGCCAAACAACTTAAAATAGCTCCGTGTGCACCAACATAACCCCCACGACGATGTGGTCAACTTTCGGCGGACGTTAAGCATAATTAGGGCTTGCTATCGCCGAACGCTGGAGTTGAAGACGTGCGGGCGAGTCCGCATACGTCCGTAGAGAGCAGCGGGCACCTTTTCTCTTCGTCACAGATGATGTCCTCTCGTTGCCGTGCGCTGTCGTTCGTTGTGTCCACACAAGATCTCCATGGACTCGTCGTTGCGCGCGCGCAGGCAATCCCACTACACGTATCGCATTTTGAGGTTCGAAGGAATCCAGCTATGACCGCCTTCGATTATAGGTATTTCGCCCCCAAAAGCAATGTGTTCCGACCTACACACATATCAATTTTTAGATGAGCCGATTCCATGTATTTGGAAAAGTTTGTTCGTACAGTGTAGACCGAAAAACTTGCGTTTGGCATATTACACAACGAGAGACCACGGATCTACTTGAGGTAGATTTTGGCGTCTTAGAGGTTTGTTGGTTGGATGCTTCGGTTCTCCGGGGTCTCAAAGAGAAAGGGTATTCAAAGGCGTTTTCATTCTGCTGCACGTCGGGAGCGTAAGAATTCGATAGACGGGTGTCCACTTGGATCCAAGCTCGATGTAGCACGCTGCCCGCATTTTATGAGTAACGCGGAACAGAGGTCAGGAGCTAGCTACGAAGCTCGGACTAAGTTGGTGAACCGCATCGCAGTGTTCGAACTGGGCTACAGTAACAGGAGAAGGCTGGGTGATGGAGCGCGCGTCGCTGGAGCGCCCGGTTGAGGAACTGCAGGGTGTTAGGTTGCCGCATATGGTGTAGATAGGACTCGATCTTTCTTCGCCCGCGCCGTTATTGGCTCATGGCAACCCCTTTCGTTCAGATTCACGTGCCATTCTAAAATAGGTGTGGCGTCGTTTCCGACCACCTTCGACTCATACCCGAGATTCAGGATCAAGTTTGCGCGGCGTCTGCCAACATGGTACTTTGCGACATGTTCCTCGTGGTACTTGCTCACTACAATCGGTCACAAACAATTCGGCTCGCCCACAACTCAGCCGAGATACTTGCCCAGCATCTCCGTCCTCGCTCGCCGTTCTTCGCCGATGCTTGCTTCACCACGATCACGGGATTACAGTCTCGGTCGCATCCCCCCTCCTGACGAACACGACCACTAGATTCACTGTATTACCACGCGAGGAAAAGAATGAATCCTACGGCACCACTGTGGTTGGCCGTCATAACTCAATATCCGGAGGAAAAATGGAGCGAATACCGCAACACTGAATATGAAATCTGGAGTCGAAGACGCCAAGCAATACAATCGTCGACGACCCTTCTTCATGACATCCTCCATTGTGGCACTGAATTCGACTAACATGCCGTCACTACTGGCCTAAGGTTAGCCATCATTACGTCATACGAGTACCAAAAAATTGAGGGAATGCTATCCAGTACAACATGGAGATGAAACCCCGGGTCAAACGCGGAAATGACAATCATAGTCGCGGCCCTCTTCATGGGATCCTGCATAGAGACACTGAATTCTGAATTCGGTCATTTTTCCGTCACTATTGGCCATGTCGGTAGATGCTGAAATCTCACCGTTTGACTAGCCAGCGCGTTCTACATACATGCTGGGTTTCAAACCTAGAGCTACCTTAATACAAGTATGCCAGAATCACACTAAAAAGTTTGATTTCGGCTGTTATGCCATGCTGCTACGATGGAACGCGTGAAGCACTGGAATGAACGCACGTCGAATGCACTCAATTCTCACAAATATATTTTGTGAAATTCAAAGGATTCTTTGTCCACCCGACCACAGTATGGGTTCTCTAGGGGGATTGAATGCTACGTGCAGCCCCTGAAGAAAAAAAATGGTCAGAAATCGTCCGAAGAATATAGTGGTGAGATCGTGTGCGGTTTCTACCAGCGCGAAACCATATGCCAAGGGCGACCAGCGCAGAAGATGATTTTAGCAGGCAGCTCTGACGAGACACTGCGACAACGTCTGTCGTCGCAGGAGTACATACGTGAGAGGGATATTCTGAATATGTTCTTGCCTCCACAAGGCCTCCACGAAGTTGACTTCCCCCGCGGTAGTCGACGGTATTCGCAAACCGGGAGAGGCGAGTTGGTCGCTGAGTTCAAGAAATCGTGTACGGTGAATATTCACACGCATGAACAGGGACTGCCCGCACTCGAAGGCAGGGTGGCAATTATCGAATGATTGGTTTCGATGATGAGCATTATTCTGTCCCCAGTTGGCTTGAACCTTGGTCATATGGTGAAGAAAGTTTTGCTTTGGAAGCATGTGTAAGCGAGAAAGAGTGATTTCAACAGTTTAGTTTGCGTGCGTTCCATGCTGATTGAGAGTCGAGTTCAAAGTGTCTCTTGCAACCGCTCCAATCCGAATTTCCAAGCATCCAAGGCGGGGCGCCTCAGACTTCCATGTGAGGTCAACACAGCGATGTCAAAGTCCGCCCCTCCGAAGCGAAGAGTTATATACCACAAAGGTTCACAACAAACGCTGAACTACATACCTACACTCAAGCTCGCACAAATTCGAACCCGGCTTTCGTGTCGACGAGTAAGTCGGCCGATCATCGTGAACCCCCAAACGTCGACACTCGTGAGAGGGAAGTTTCCCACTCGATATCTCGACATCCGAGGCTCGTGCCGACATAAAATCCTTACGTACCACGTCGGCGACGTCTTCCGGATGGCCCCGTATCCGACAATCGACACGCTCGCCGTTGTGTAGGTCTCCGGAGAGGAAGTCAAGTACACTTTCGGTAATCCATACACGAGGCCACACGCACAGTTTCTCGGTAGCAAGCTCGGCAAGGTAGAAGTTGAAGTTGCTAGGAACGCTCCACGCCCAACGGGGATTGTTGAGAGCAGCTTTCTGCCGTCTGCAGTTGCTGGCTCGAAAGACGTGCATGGGCGCTTTTGAAAACAACAACCCTCCAGTACATCAAGCCGTTGCTCTTCAAGGGGTTGAACAACCTATCCTCTACAGTATTACTCAATGTCAACACTCTACCACCGGTCATCTTCTCCCCCCCCCCGCCCCTTTCCTCCACGTGCGTTGTCATGAACGTATACCACATTTTTTTTGCGCCTTTCGGGGCGATCTCGGCGCGGCACGCTAGACTGCACATTGGGATAGACCATTCAACGTATCAAGCCTTCCCTTGACGTCCGAGTACCCTTAGAGGATACTTCGGCTGAACCTGTCGAAAACCACCATGTGCAACAAGAAATTGGTTGAAAGGAGAGAGGAAGGGGTAAACGAGGAACGGGTGGGAGAAAGTGTCGAAGAGGAAGGCGATAGAGACAGACACCGTGAGACGGATGCAGCATTGCCACCAACTGCACGTCGAAATCGTACAGAAACTCATCTAAGGCGTGACCGGTAAGGTAAACGACACGCGTTCCCAACGGTGCTCGACGGGCGAACAGGTCCGTTTGCTCGTGAGGTGCGGTGGGCACGGGAATCGCCGGGACATTGGGGCAAAACTTGCCTGAGAATTTTCTCCGCTGCACGAACAAGCAGAAACTACAAGGTCATGAAAGTATGGTGGTCGGTGAGAGCACAAAGTAGGGGAAAGGGAAAGGGTACCGCACAGGACAGTTTCACGACGCTCCCTCGGACATGTGACGCATGCAAAGAGGTAGACATTGTACAACAGACACACCGGACGTTACCGATGGGCCATAGCCTTGGCATCCTGTGGGCCTTCTCACCTGGGGTTGGTGCCGTGCCGGCCATGCGAGGAAGCTGTAATCTTCGGTTGGTGCGGTCGATAGCTGCTTTGGAGACCGTCGGCCAAAGATGTTGTTTCTGCAAATGAGATTCACACGAGAGGTTATCGAGAGTGTTAAACGGCCTGAGTGCCGCGAGCCATGATCCTGAGGTACTGTGATGTACGTTTTTTGCTACGAAACCCAATACATGGGCAAAAAGAAATGTTGCTGTCTCAGGTGAGCACTGTTGGGAGCAAACTTGGAACGGAACCGAGACTTTATCGTTCATTATTGTTGGGCTACCAATGACGAGTCTAGTCACTTCCATCGCCACACAAGAGAGAGAAGCAGACGTGGTCGACGTGTACACAAACGAAATGGGTTGCACGAACGAGCGTATTGCGTTTCTCGATGCCCTAGCAACCCGCTGTCCTATTAGCATGATGCCGCGTGGGCCCGTTCCCCGGTTGAACCGCCATAATTGTTTTGTTGCAACATTGTTCTTCCTGAGGTTTTCCTACCGCCTGCGTAACTGCGGGTGAACCTCACGACCAAATAGAGCCCGGCCCTCACCCGCAGCTCTTCGAAGGCGGACATCAGACGCCGCAGCAGCGACGCTATCTTCGTGGCTAGATCATCGTCGTTTACTAGCCTCCGCAGCTTCTTCGTGCGGGATCTGGCTTTTTTCGGGGCAGCACCGTCACCGCATCCCGCCAAGGAGGAGGACGAGGAAGAGCACCCGACTGCTGAGCCTCGGACGTACGTGTAGAGCTTTCCTACCGTGTCGCAGCCGTCGTCGCGCAAACGCTTGGCCGCTTCTTTCCCGCCGCACACTGCTCTCCACCAAGCCTGCACGAGAACGTTCAAAAGGGGGAGCAATGGGTTGGACAACGTGTCGGGGCGGGAGGGCATGCACACCAGAGGAATCGCCAGCCTCGTGTTTTTCAACCGAGGTTTCACTTAAGTCGGATGATATCATGGTGGCATTTTGGACGTGAACACCACTCGGTGCGAGGGGTTAGGCGTCGTCAATCAAGCCGGGACGTCCTGTACGTGACGCTGCGCTGACAATGTCGTCAGGGCAGTGTCCCATGTTTCGACACAGGTAGGAAGGGACGCACGGTGCATGCCGAACGAGATGCACTTCACCGGAACCACGGGCCTGCAATTTCTCACAACAGTGTTCTCAAGTGTTTCGCGAGAAACGTTTTGACCCATTCCTGCAAATCAAATAAATCGTAGATGCTGGAGAGTACTGTATTGGGAGGACGATTTTTTTAGCAAGGCGTTGGTTCCCCATCATTGCTGTTGCCCTTGACCCACCTGTTCGGTATCTCCACCGTTCCACCAACCAAGGCCCCCGCCGAGGCCGGCAGCGACCATTGCATTGCTTAGGGGGCCCGGGTGCAGCACGCATGCATAGGCGGCGTGGACGATGAACAAGTCCAGGGACTCTTTCACCTGTTTCGTCGTGGCGAAGTGCAATTGTCATAAGCAGGGTGGAAAGGAGGTTAGCGCGGAAGTACGTTGGAGGGTCTCGTCCTGTAGGGGTGTTTTCCTGCCAGCAGCCGTTGCGTGTAAACAAGTGCCGCCGGTGGAAACGAAGTTACTGTCCAGAAATTATCCCTCCTCTTAGTCGCGGGCGGACGAGGAAACGTGGAGCAGCGCGAACAGGTTGTCATCACTCGGGGTGGTACTGGGAGCATGCGCAAGGAATATACACCGCATGGCGAGCCGCAGCTAAGCGACTGGCTTCCACGAAAACGAAATGGTGTTTTCGACGGCAGCGAACCTGGCTGAACTGCTGCCAGGGGACAGGATCCGCGGTATCGTCACCGCCTCGCTTCGAAATCTCGTGGGAAAACCCTCGTACGTGTGTCCTGCCACACCTCTGGCACTTCGAGCCCCCGGCAGCGCTGGCACCGGTTCGCAGGGCCCAGCAAGTCTCGCACAGGGTCTTGTGCGCCGAAAACCATTTGGGCACCGACGTTGCTTGACCTTGCCCCCCCTGATGGATAGGTCCTGTAGCGTAGAGGCGGGCGCTGGGTTGGTGGTGTTGACCGTGTTGTTCTGTTGCCACCGGTCCTTGTTGATGATACTGGGCGGCAGGGGCATCCTCTTCCAACCTAGCCGCATTTTCTGCCCGTTTTCGTCGCACCGGAGCGAGGAAAAAACTGGCCTGTTTTGATATCATGCCAAGCACCTTGATGCTGCTGGCGGGCCCGTTGATGCTGCTGTTCCGAGGCAGCGCGGGAAGAGTACAGGGAAGGCCAACGTGCCCCTTGGACACGAGGTGGTGCGCAAATCCCAGAAGAAGAAGCCACTCCCCCGCCTCCGCCTGCCGTTTCAATGGGCGTTCAATAGGCCGGGTCTGTTTGCGCTAGCTCGATAGCCGCGGTTCGGCTGCTGTGTAGCTACCGGACACCATCACCCACACAGTGCCCTTCTAATGAGCTGGATTCCTCATCTTGTCGTTGTGTCTACTGTAGGGCGGGATAACACGGGCACGCTGCCTGTCATCCAAGACTCCACAATATCTACCGGTTTCTACTGCACGTGTTCGGGCTCAGCCGGAAATCGGGGCAAGATGAACAACAAGTACCATCGACATCAACGACATTAGTCGAGGAAAAATAACAACAACAACAACAACAACAACAACAACAACGCACCGCTAGCGTGGCCGCCTCGATCTTGGCCGCAACTACAAGCGAGACGGCGTCCGACACGCCTTCCAGCAACCTCCAGTAACGCCTCGTCAGCTGCGTCTCCGCAAGCGCCTCCACCTTCCTAGTGTCATCCATGCGGAAGCCAACCCTTGCACCAACGTTTGGCATGATTTTCAAGTAGCGTGCGACGAAAACCACGGCAAGAAAGACCGGGAGCACGGGGTAGACGTGGGAGAATGGGCCGTTAGAATGAAGCGGGCACGACGCAAAAGGAATTTCTTGTGCTGCACTCGAAACGCGCTACCGTTTCGTCAAGCATGGAAGGTACGAAGCGGAGCAAATACGATTTCGCGTCACATTGCGGCATGAAGGTGACGGCGGACAGCTGAAATCAACTCCACACGTCGCAGCACGTAATACCCCGGTCAGGAAGCTAGAAGCTCCCACGGAATCTACACACTGCCATCGCTGCTTTTCACGGAGACCAACTCTGAAGCACCCAACCCTTACCTGTGCTTGTGCGGCACGGACGGCACAAACTGGACCGCAGACCTCGCCAGCAGGGTGACGATCCAGGGATGCAAGCACCGTAGGATCCGCCCATCCACAATTTCCGTCAGACCCACCCTACGCCTAGACTCGGCTGTCAATCTGGCCCTACGACTGTCGTGCCGACTTCCCGCTATATTTTCCCTGATGGCGGGGTGGCCGGGCGACCCTCCTGCTTTTCTTCCCGATTCCTCCGCCGAAGATGCTCCCCGAGCTACCCGGAAGCTGCCGTCAGCCCACGTGTCGGGCGACCCTCCCTGTCTGCTGCTGGTGTGTCTGGAAGACGTTCTTTGGTGGGTGTTGTGGGAGGAACCAACTCGGGCCCTCGGGAAGCGGTGGGGTGAGGCCGTCGACGTTCTCGCCGCTGATTCTCCCGACATAAGAGGCATTTCGGCGAGGAGCGAGTGGGGAAAGACAGAGCCCACCCCCATGGGAAAGGGGGGGGGGTTGTTGGCATAGAATGAAAATTCTCAAGTCCAAGGAACCAGCGCAATCCTGAAAACCCTCTCAGAAGCTCATGGCGTGATTCCGCCAATAGCGAAGTATCCGCAAAGAAAACATTATTGTTGAAGGCGTAACATTGAGTCTATTTTCGTTTGTTTGTTGCACTCAGGCGCGGTACGATGATCGTTGGGGTTACAGACGTTGTGCGCCGGGAGTTTGGAGGCACGCCGAAATTTTCATGATAGTAGCAACGGTCATGGTTTCATTACAGCGGCTCTCACGCAAGCGCTACCAGCCATGCGACGACAAAGCGTCGCACTTCAACGTCGAGCCCATTCACGCTTGGCGTCTACTCGCACCGACTCACAGTGAGTTGTTCGGCCTTGCCCAGACGCACCGCGCGTTTCCAGAGCGACTTGCTCCGAAAGCAGGCCAACCGCTTGTTCCCGCTGAGACACGGCGGTTTCAAGTATTTGGTTGAGGTCGAGCAGCAGGCGCTCCCACGTTCCGGTCCTCGAGAGGAAGCGTAGGTGAGCACCGACGATCTCCGCGGGAGCGCGGGCTTTTATTTCGCAAACCAGAGAGCGCTTCTCCTTAGCGAGAACAGTAGCCCATGCTTGGAGCCTGCATACGGGGGGGACACGCCGGACGAATCTTGGGGGAGTAAAGGTGCAATTTGAAAGAGAGAGAGAGACGTCGTCGATGTCGGGAGCAGCACGCGTATTTTCTGGTTTGTTCGCGCTTGTTTGACTACGGAATTAATTCGATGCAACTTCTCACTGTCTTGGCCATTCGGAGTTTCACCCTCGCTCTTGGAGACACAAACGGGTGTCCCGGCCAACGAGAAAATAAATCGCTGTGGAGAGTGTGAATCGAGGCTGATGAAAACTTTCCAAACTACATGTAGCTGGCCACGCTTGGGGAGTTTTCGTCATGTGTATTCTTCCACCTATATCCCGTTCTGCGGTGAATTCACCGGACGGCTAGGCCATGGGACTGCAATGCTGCTCACTGGGCTACCCTGGTTGTGTGTGCGTGTGTGTTGCCCCTCGCTAACCTCTTGGCCATCCGGGCCGTCACGCGTTCCCGGAGAGCAGCTTTTCGGCTCCGGCGGTGAGCGAGAAAACGAACCAAGCGACCGAAGTAGTACCTCTGCCGGAGACCCCCTCGCCACGAGCCCACGTTGTACGCCACGGCCAAGCTCCAACTTGCGCTTGCGTAAGGCGCATCCTGCCCCCAAGGAAACAGAACGCGGCATGTTTTCACCTCAACCTCAAATTGCTAAAGACCTAAATATTGCCGAATCTGCACGATGCGAGTGCCTATGCGGACCCTGGAACGCTTCGGGATATTTTCGGCCCTCCCAGCAGGTCCGTACCCCGGTCCCGTAACCTCAATGTGTGGCACATACACAGAAGGCAGCAGGTGTATTCACAGTAGGACGCGGACGTCGTCAGGGGTCACTTTGAGCTGTGCCTCAAGAACCCCATACCATTTCCTTCTTTCTCGCAGGCCTGCCGTCTCGATGAAATCTTCATGGAGGTGTTGTCGTTGTCACAGCTATCTCAAAAACAAAATAGTCGAATCCAGATGAAGTTCATTTTTTCCCTTCCCTTCAAGCCAGTAGTTTTTTGCGACAAATAGTTCGGCCGTCATTTCCCCCGTCCCTTCCCCTCGTCAAGGAAAGTTTTTGTCACAGCCATGTTTCTCCGAGAACAAACAGAATCTTCGGGTTGATAGACATGTTCCTGCATAAAGACTAATTTGCTCATGGACGCGGTGCCTGGAAACTCTCCGCTGGCCAAGACTATCTGCCGATCAACACTCGGTTGAACGGAATCGTGAGGGGTGTTTTCCCATGTACTTTCAGGGATGACACTCAACGCCAACTCAATATCACGTACGATATTAAAGCTAACTTGAGGACGGACTCGCCTTTCCAGTGAGCTCAGCGAACACTGCGCGGCGCGCTACGCCGTCATCGTCTTCGTTGGAGCTTCGACTTACCACCCGCGCTACGAGTCCGGCGACATCTCCAAGTTGCTTCATTTTGTTTGGCGGGTGCTCGAATTTCAATCGGGACATCGAAGACTTCCACCTTCGTACAAATTCGGGTAGTTGGGAAATGAGATGAGGGGGTGTTTCTCGTCATTGCTCACGGTGGCGTACAACCACAGGTCCCGGGCAGCCCTACCGAGGCGAGACCTGGCACGTTGGTGGATTCAAACAAGCGCGAATAGAGCAGGGTGGAACCGAACGGTTTGCGCCACCCATGCATACCCTAAAAATTTAACCCTTTACGGCCCCAGCAACACTCTGGCGAGCCGAGCAATACGAAACGTTTCTCAGCACCCAGAGGCAGCGACTTCGTGAACATCGGGTCAGGGGCAAGAGTGGAATGATAGTGGTAGTCGCCACGTGCCACCGCCAACGCGCACCTGTCTGCCCTCTCCTGCCGCTCTCTGGCCGTTTTGGCTTTCCACTCGGATTGATGCGCTTCCTGTTGCGCCTGGCCCCGTTCGAATATCCGCCTTGTCCTACGGGCACGGAAAAGGCGCTGCCCAGGTGATGGTGACGAAGCGGGATGGGAGCATGGGTGGGGCTAGATGGGGAAGTTGATTGGGCATGGACCGGCGTTCGTTCGTGCCGGGGATATGAGGTGGAGGGCTTAGGACGGATTGCGCTCTCGAGGAATTTCAGCCCCTCCAAATGGACCGTATGCTCGCTCGGTGTCGACATAGTGCCACCCTCGAGTCGGTTTGGGAGGGGGGTTCCGGCCGAGAGTGGAAGGACAGAGTTGCGGCAAGTTTGGGGTTAGTCCTAGGGCAGGCTCGGTTTCGGGGCTTTCGGCAAGCATCTGTCTCGTCTTTCGAGTACAGGACTCGAACAAGAAGGGCTTATGTGGCCGATGTTGTGCCGATTCTTTCTTGCACCAATGCTCACTCGAGTAGGATAGTGGATGTTTTGTTGTAACATTGGAGAGACCAAATTGGGGAGGGGCTGTTGGGATTGAACATGACAAACGTGTTGGTGGGGCAACACGATGACAGAAACGCGGTGAGTGTCGCCACTTTTCAAAGGTTGAACGGAGATGTATTAGTGCGTTACCGCAGGTTGAAGACGTTGTTCTGGGCATATCGAAAGGCTCAATACTTCTCCTCGAGACGGAAAACCTCATCATGAGAGGAATGCTCCAGGCCCCAATTGTTTGAAAAAGCGATGGTAGCCTGAAACGATAGCCTGGAGTGTTAATCCTGGGTGTCGGCCCTGTTCCTACACGGCTAGGGCATAGAACCTCACGAGCGACGGAAGATTAACATATCTGGTTGGTATGGGTAGTACCGTGGTTTTTCTCCGAAATGAAATCAACGAAAAGGAACGACGGACGCTGGGGTACGACACCTCATCACGGAAGGGCAACCGACCTGTTGTAGGTGCCGGGCCCTTCGGATGACGGGTAGGCAAAGCGGGGGCGGAAAGCATGTTTCATTCGATGCTATCCCTCGACACCAACTCCGGCTCTACCACCGTCGGATGGAAGTTGTAGTTTTTCGTGGGTATTCAATAGAGGTTCGAGAGATAGAACAAGCACAATCCGCTTGAATGCAAGGACGGGTCGCCCTGTGGCTCATTCACCTGCATCCTGATTATCTCCGGCAGCACGAAATTACCCTGGCACTCTAAGTTCGCCAAGCCCCTCAGGGTCACGCCCAAGCGAGATTTGTTCCTTCGCAAATGCGCTTCGTTTTCCCTGTTTTCAGCATGAGGAACGTTGTAAATACCAAACCAAACACCATGGGCACTTGAACAAACGCGCAAAGCACTAGAGGCAATAGCGAGAGTCACAACTTCAGCGCGAAGGCCACAGAGTGAGGTCCATCACTTTCGGCATTTTGTCGTCATGACAAAGGATCATTTTCACAGTTCATTCGACTGGTCGGCTACTGACACGAATGGTGCTATCTAAACCTTCCCATCTATGATGCTTGTAATGTTCGAAACTCCAATGACAAGAACTACTTCTACCTCCACGGTTTCTCACCGCTCCTAAGGCTAACACGTTTCCCTGCTACGTTGCTCTCATATTCAAACGTTGGCACTCACAGTTTCCTTCGAAACTGAGATTGTGCAGGAGCATGCTAAATCATTGCTTTGGCCATGAAATCTTTCAGCCGCGACGTTGTCCTCCTGTAACCGCTCCGACTTTCTCACGTCTCACGCCGCCCTCGTCGAAATCATACGTTAGGTAGAGGCCGGCAGTACACAGGGATTGCCCTCGACGCGAAGTGCGTCCAACAAAATCCATACTGTTGCTGGTGCAACCGAACGTCCACACCTCCAGGACAGAGTAGTGTTTGGCCTGGCGGAGGCGGATGGCGTCTCACCGTTTCTTGCGCTCCTCAGACGGCAATATAGGCCATCGTACAGCCCTGCCAGTCGTCCGTCTCGCATTTGTCCACGCGTTTTTCTCGTCAGGTGGCTCGCCTTCTCCCCTCTCTTCCTCCCAGGTCCAGGCCAGTTCCGGCGCAGGGTCACCTGTGCTGTCGCCTTGCGTTCTTGTTCTGGCGGACTGCTGGAAGCTCCATGGGGTCGAAACGGCCGAGCCAGCGGTGTGGGGAGACCGGCTCGTGGTCGGCGACACCAAAACCGAATAGGTTTCCGGACTTTCGCCACATGCACTGTCCTTCGTTCTTCTCGTCGCGGAACTGCTCCCTGTTGTTCCTGCTGTCGTGGTTCTCCCGGTGTATCCGCCGGAGGCTGGTGTCCCTGCAGCAGTCGTCGTTCTTGGGGTCGCCGGAGAGCTCCGTGCGCTCGAAACCGTCGAACAAGCGGTGTGGTTAGACCGGTTCGGGGTCGGGGACGACGACGCCCAAGAGTCGTCCGCACTTCTGCTTTTGTTTTCCCCCATCGTTGTCCCTGTCACGGAGCTTCTTCTTGTGTCTGCCGTCATGGTTTTCCCGGTGGATCCGCCGGTGGCTGATGGTGTCCCTGCCATCGTCGTTCTTCCGGTCGTCCCCCTCGCGGAGGAGGAGGAGAAGGAGGCAGAGGGGGGGGCTATCGGCGACACCCCGGCAGCAATCGCCCACGGGAGTCCTCCTGCCACTTCCGGCTGGTAAACCACGCCCGTCCCTGTGGGGGATTCAACGCCAACCGTAGACTTCGAACGCCCTTCATCCCCGTGTTCTTCTGGTTCCCGCTGCCTCTGCCCAGTCCCCACCAGCAGCCAGCGTTTTCTGCGAGCGAAACACCGCATCTCTTCCTGCACTACACGAGCTGCGGCATCCCTCAACGCCCACAGCACAATCGTCGCCTCCCTCTCGGCAGCTTGTGCAGCCTCGCTACTGTTGTTGCCCCGTCTTGCATCTTGTGCTCCTCCCTTCGGCGTGCGGCCGGGTGTACATTTCCCGCTGTTTGGTGCTTCCGCTGAAGCTGCATCTTCCCCCTCCCTGGAATCTGGTCCCTGGTCAGGCCGCTCGGTATCGTCACTGACGATAGCCCTCTGAACCACAACCTCTGTTTTGGCGGCTGGATGAGATGACGAAGGCAAAGCGACGACGCCATCGGTCGACGTCATGGCGGCATCACTGCCGAAAAGTGGCGGGCTTGCTGCGGCACGGTTTCGTCGACGGTGCTTTCTGCTGCGGCAGGTCAAGTTTGATAGAGTGGGCACTAAACCCCTGAGGCCATTGTACGCGTCCAGAATGGCCATTAAGCGGGACAAGAGGATCGCCCGGCGATCTCCAATGCCGAAAGGAGATCTGGTATCGTTTAGCGAGGGGGGGGTGGCTATGAGTGTAACCGAGCATAGAGGCGTAGGTTGAAAATATGAGACGAAATTGATACTTGCAAGGTCGTTGGATTTTGTTGCTTGGCCCGCGTTCTTCTTTCCTGGCAAATGTGCGCAGAAATCAATTCCTAGACGGTACAGGAATGCGTGCAGCTCATTCCGCTTTGGCGACACCTTGTAATCAATGTCAACTAACAGACGACACTTGCAGCATCCCGGCAGAGACAAGAAATGGCCCACGTCGCCGCAAGAGAGGGTATCCCTGACAGAAGAAGCCCAGAGCACCTGTCCATTCTATTCTAAGGGTCAATCTCTCACCCGACACCCAACCCCGCAAGCAGAAGTATTGTGTAGACCCGGTGCAAGCGTTATGGAAAAAAGGAATCGATGGCAGAACCTCTTGGCAAACGTCCAGTGAGCCTGACAACGAAAAACATCGAATTGTTTTACAACAGCTTCAAGGATACCTCGCTGGACCCCTCACATCTGTGGCGGCCCTTGCGCGACATAGATGTGCAGCGCCGGCCGCACAAGCTCTCGAAACACCCGCCTTTGAGGACGTCCCCTCGCGTGTCTCTGGAGGCACACGGCCGCCATCCTTCTGAGGTACCTCTCTCTCGGCGATTTTATCTCAGGGTCCTCATCACGGCAACACCGACGACCAACAGCAGCCTAAGCCGCCGCAACACACGCATCGAGCAAACCCAGGGTCGACATCAACCAGATTCGTTGCGTGCGACGGAGCCAATGGGTCATCATCTTACTTGGCCCTGCGGATAAGTGCTTAGCAGTACGATCACACGGGAAAATCGGCTTCGCGGTTTGTCCCTCCGCAAACGAGCCGGACACACGGACCCCGTACGCTGCCCTTTGTGTCTCCGTCGTTCGATAGCAAGCCCATCAAAACCTGCCGAAACTCTATTCGAACGAGGGAGGAACCTACGCAACACCAACGAAGGGAATTCGATCAAATGCAAGGCGGTTGATCTCGTTTGCGTTTTCAACTCCATGCCAAACTTGGCGGTGAAGTGCTCGTGTCTGAGCTCTAACCTTTTGTCCCATACTCACGCGACTTTCGTTCTGTCTCGAACGAATTGCGCACGACGCGTTGGCTAAGCTGTGGGATTGATTGGTGCCTCGATTGTAAATTTTCATGCGATCCTTGTCCGTACCTTTAGACCTCATTGCCAACAGATCGCAATCCCCTGTCTCTAAAGGAGTGCGTTATACCCACCTTCCTCTCTCCGCCGTTCTCCATCCCCTCTGGCGTTTCAGGACCACTGGCTTCTCTTGCATTATCCATTAGTCCCCCGGCTATGGCCTGCCCCTTGCCTGTCTCCTGATCGTAATCTAGGGCCGCAGCAGCTCTCTTCTGACCTTGGGCTTTGATGGCCGCTCGGAGTTCACTACGAACGCGCGCCATGTATAACGTGTGCCCCATTTGCCCGATGACAGCTCGCACTTCGTCTACATGTGCGGTTATTTGCTGTCGGTCTTCCGTATCACTACCGAAATACCAAACGAAAGGGCGTGAACGGACGGAGGTCGAAGCACAGGTTAACGGCAGCTACAAGTGTGGAGTGGAGGAAACATTTCTGAGATATTACCTCATCCATTCAAATGGAATCTGGTGTCCGAGTGTTCCCAATAGAAAGATAGGAAACCAGCGACAACATAGAACGTGTTCAAATAAACCGCATCTTGGACAATAGACCACGTCTACTGCCATTGTATTAAATAGGATTATATCTAATAGACGTGTCTATTGGCGTCGGTGATAGCTGTCGAAGGTTAATTTCTCACACTACTGTCACAGACCGAGCCTATATACAGACATGTGTGTTGTCTATTGCGACCTGCGATGTCTATCGATCAGCATTCTGCTCAAGTCTGTTGTAGCCATCAACGTCCATCGATAAGCAGTTTGACAATACATTGCGACCAACAATGGCTGTGAACGTGTGGTGTGCGAAATCTGTTGTGGCTCGCAATGTCCACCGAAAGACAGATAGGAAATCTATGGTTGCTAGTAATGTCTATCGATAGACAATCGGCGATTCTCTGGAATGCCGTTCGACAGTTAGTCGGCGATTCTATTGTGGCCGGCAATGCCCTTTGATAGACAGTTTGTGCTGATCGACTGAGGGCAACAATGCTCTTTGGCCGCAGAAAATCGGAACAGTGGTCGTCCTAGGGCCGGGCGTCAGTTGCCATTGCTATACTATTTCAGATGTCAAATGAGTGATGATTACCCTGTGTACAAGTAATGTGTTTGTACCCTGGACAATAGAAAAGAAATAGAACATTGTGGCTACAGCATCTCTAAAAGAGTAGTTGTTAATAGACATTGCTGGCTGTGGTAGAATTCGCAGGCTGTCGTTCAATAGATGCTTTTGGCAGCAATAGACGTCGCAGGTTGTCTTCCGATAGACATTGTTGACTGCCAAGACTTTGCAGACTTTCTTTCGGCATCTCTTGTAGACAGCAAGAGATGCTGCCGGCTGTGGTCCGATAGACATTGGTGGCTGCAACATACTCATCCTCCACTCTTTCGATATATGTTGTTGGCAACAATAGATGTCGCAGACCATCAGCCGATAAAGATGGTGGACAACAATAGATTGGTACCCGGTCTTCCAATAGACATTGTTGGCAACAAATGATTTCGAAAGCTTTCTTTCGGTAGACATTGTTGGGAGTTCTATTAACTGGAAGCCTTGAAAACATTTTTCGTGATGGAAGGAAGTGGATATTGGTACAAACTAAAGGATATTTGACCTTATTGCCGTTGAAATGTCTATCGGTGCTGTCTTTCGAAACCTATCGCTATCGACAATGTCTTTCGATAGAACGCTAAAAACCTATTGTAGTCAACAATGCATATTGATATTTCTTGAGAAAACCCCTTGCCTTTGACAATGGATATCGATAGAACCTTTGAGAGTTTATTGTCACCTACAAAAGACATCGATAGACACCTTCGCAAATCTATTGCGGTTGACAATGGATGTCGACAGAGCATTTGGAAATCTATCGTTATTGACAATGGATATCGATAGAAACCGTTCCAAACTATTGTTTCTGGCAAGGGATATCGATAGTTTTTTTTAGTGGTCCATTTGTAGCAACAATAGACCGTATTTCCTCTATTGTCCAGTGTGTGGTGCAAATGACATAGAAACAACAAACAGTCACTGCAAAGATATATTTCTCGGATCGTACGGAGTACGGGGTAGTTGGTGGGTTGGAATTTGGTGAGAAATAATTGTGAGGTTGATGCCTTCAGAACGAAGTTATTAGGACCTCAGCCCAGTACCTCCTCTCCCATCCTCTTCCAGTGGAGAGAGGTATCGTCATCTTGGTCAAAGGCGGAACCAAGTAAGGCATATTGAACGAGGGTAGAAAAGACGCATAGAGGCTTCCGTCATGTATGGCCCTAAACCCCACGTTCTGGCAAACAACAACCTCGGAGTTCAACCTCGGAGTTCAACTCTTTCATTGTCTGCATATGTAGAACAGAGGCTGGCACAAACAGGGTTGGTATTCAGACAGACCAACCCTTTGCATGAAACACAGCAATGGTACAGGGCCAACGCATAGACTACCTATCGCCCACCCCTTTGTTGCCTTCTGCGTTAGCAGTGGCGCATCAGTACGCGAATATTTGTGTGTGTGTGTGCCATCTTCTGTGTGTCGATTCCAGCTACTGCTGTCCCGGGCGTTTTCCTCCATACGGGCGGTGCGCGCACACGTCGACACTCGACACAACAACACCAAGCCGCAGGGATCCAAGAAACCTCAGTCAGAAACGCACACAGAAGCAAGTGAAGGCAGTGGCTGCTACATACGAAAAGAACCAAATCCCTTCTACACACGTTATTCCTCGAGTGGCAGTCATTCGTTTTGACCGTCAATAGCCCCCCCCCCCCCCCCGAAAGATTCCTATATTGCCGTACACACGCTTTAGAGGAGCTGTCGTTGCTGGATAGAGACGACCGCTGCTCTTTGTCGCGAATTCGACATGATTCACCTCCCAG